ATAAAATGAGATTATAAAATGTGGTTATAAATATAGTTGTGGTTTTCATAAATAAATTTTTAACTCATATAAATATAGTGTTTCCGACAGATTTATAGCCTAGAAAAAAGTAGTTTTTAGCAACCTTAAAAATGCAAATCAAATGTTTTATATAAAATTAAATATTTAAAAATACATATAAATATGTATGAAATGTGATTCACTAGAGATATAGCTTTCAATTTGCTAATACATTACCATTTTATTATTCCTTCTTTTAGTCAGATGTTTCTCTAGATTTTAATTTTTTATGAATTTACTTATGATGTAAAAAATCGGTGACAAAATAGTAGACAATAGTTTTTTTCTATAAACTGATATATTAGTACATAGAGATTGTTAAATATATTGAAATTTTGTTTTTACTAATAATACATGATAAATAATTAGACAATCGTTTAACATTATTTAGAATATTAAACAAATTTCGACTTTTGTTATTTAAAAAAAAATCATATTTTCCAAATAACTGATGCAGGCTATTTTGTCATCGATTTTATWTCATAATATAAATGTTGAGATAGACTTGAACTATTTTTAAGCATAATTTGTGATAAAATACTATGTTTTAAATAGTAATTAGAGATTGAAAACTGATTTTTATTTTGCGGATCAGCTCAGGTCAGGTATGGCTCTCAATTGTTTCAGTCTCTTGTAGTAAAATATTGTAATTATGATAATAATGAGATCCATATTTTTAAACGTCATACAAGTGCAACATTAACCGGTGCCAAATAAATGTAATGGGAATTATTTATAATATACTGTTTTGTAAATTTATATACATCTAGAGATACAGTATTATGTGCTATAATATAATAATTAAAATTTATGTGAAGCCTTTATAAAAATTGCAATTTTTAACACAAAACCTACTTATTTGTGAATCATTAACGGTGTAATTTCAACTGTAATAAGAAATAAAACTTATAGAGAGTTAATATTAACTTATAATATAGTTAGTGTTTATATTGGTATATCTTTTAAACTCTCTCTCTCTCTCTCTCTCTCTCTCTCTCTCTCTCTCTCTCTCTCTCTCTCTCTCTCTCTCTCTCTCTCTCTCTCTCTCTCTCTCTTGCATGTTATAGTTACTAAAAAATAAGACATACAATGAATTTTGCAAATAGTTTTAGTTTATAGACACGAAACACATTCACCAAAAAATATACCGCATATAAAACATATGGTTTTCTATAAAAGAGTTAACTTTGTTTTGATGTGAGCTTTGAGACCACACATACACCAGAAATTGATTAAATGGTTGAATATAACCATTGTTTTCTATTTTAAACACATTTTACTCTCTTATTAATGTATTATAAAACATAAATTGATTGCAACCAAATATTTTTAACTATACATTATTAGATTAAAATACAGTTTTTAAATTAAATAGATGACTAAAATATAGTCTTTAAAATACTACATTATTGTATATTGATTTGTTATTTGAATAAATTATAGTTAAATAGTTTTACATAAAATTTAATGATAGAATATATATTATAGTTTTTTATTTACTTTAAAATTTAAAAAATAAAACTTGACTGAATTTGTAAAACCAATAATTTTTTAATATTTATATATTTGTACTGTAGCTCCGGGATGTGCATTTCATGTATTATGTGATACCTTATGAGTGTGTCTGTTATGTGTCAGACAATAAAGTTAGTTAAATATATTGAAGAGCTCTCAACTAAATTACATTTATATTTATTTATTTATTTATATAACTGTATGATTGCATAGAGAAATTGGAGATCTATTTTAGTGAAAACATCTATTTTATTGGACATTCAGTCGTCTATATCTCTAATAGATTATGGAAATGCAGTCATATATTCTTTATATACAATAAATGCCATATTTTTACAAACATTTTATCGTTTAATCTTATAATAACTTATATATTGAATACAAATTTTGTTTTGATATACATTTTAATTTTTTCAAAATTTTTAAATTGATTACATAATAAGAAATAAAATATTTTTATATATATATACTGTATATTTAAACACTAAATCAGTTGTATTACAAATTGTAAGTCAAAAGTGGATAATGAGTTTTACTGAAGAAATAGAGTGTTAACATAAATAATAAAATACAAACTTTCACTTAAATATATTATACGATAATATTTTGTCATTATTTATAAAATATAAAAGTTATATATGTATTAATTTAGTTATAATGTTATAATAACTCACCTCAAGCTCAATGCTGTTATTTATTTGAACATTAGTTTCAATATTATTTGTCTAAGACTTTAGTCTTTACTAGTTTTTTTTGACAATATATTTGTTGAGTTGTACCACAAAAATTGGTGTACAATAAAATGGGTTTAACAATCAATTTCTATATAAACTATATTATATAACAAAAATAAAAATAATTTTATCTGTCACTGAGTCTATTAATCTACAGTTTCACAATATAGACTATATTTGGTTTGAGTAAAACTATATAAAAAAGATAACATTTGAGTTATTTGAACAAACAGTCAGTATTGACCTAAAGTTTCAGTCATTGTTTTACTGTAACTTTTACAGTATAATAATAATAATAATAATAATAAATATCTATCTCTGACTTTTCTCATTTAGCATCCCTTTCCTTCACTTTTGTAATACTATGATTAGTGCAATAAAGTGAAACATAAATCTATTGACAGTCAGTATAATTAAGTTAGTGTTTACAAACAAGCATTCAATGTGTTTGAAATTTAACATTTATTTGTAACTTTTGTGCAACATTTGATTTGTTAGTACATTTTATACACTATATTTTATGTGTAATATTTGCTTTATAAATAAAAACATTTTTAGTTATAGTTTTGTTTGACTTTTCATATGATAACATATACAGTATTATTCTTGAATGTTGTTATTATTATTATATAACTTATGTTTATATTTATATAATATACTTGTATTCTATGTTATGCCTCAAGAGATGTCCAATATTGTACCATTAAATTACTGTATTGTATATTAATATCATTGATATCTTTAAAAATGCTCAAGGTCACACTATAATGATAGTTTTTTTGAAAGCATGAATATATCATAATATTTGATGAATCGGCATATGATAGGTATAACTTTGATATTRAGATCTAAAAATATTTTAAATGAATGGTATTACAGTATATACAGTATTAAAGTTTATTATACGATACATCAAATATACTGTACTTATAATTTATAAATTTATTTTGTATTATACTTTATATTACAACTATTATGAAAAAATCTTTTGAGAGGTACTTGTATTTCAAATATATGTAAATACATTAATAAAGAATATGATTAGTTAACCGAAATGTTCAACAATTTCAACATAATTTGATATTAAAAGATATTATGCACTAAAAATAAAACACAAAAAATTACTATTTTATATTTATAAATGATAACATACAACAAATATTTGTGTGGTTTCGAGTTACAGCAAAGTTTTGCTAAACAAATATTTATGATAAAACCTACAAATAATATACTGTATATGACTTTACATTGAATTAAATGTCAAATTATTTTTTTATATATGTAAAAAATAAAGTATTGTTTGGTCTTATGGGATACAAAAAAAGAAAAGATAAAAGATTTGATAAATAAATAGTAAATTATAAAATAAAATTAATGTTAAAAGTGAAACAAAAGTAAGTCTCTAAACTATAGTTTTCACTTTTAAAAGCTTGTGAACTATAGACACTGTGAAAATATTATTTTAAAACTAACAAAAAATGACTTCAAGAGAGAGAGAGAGAGAGAGAGAGAGAGAGAGAGATGAGTACATAAAAATATATAAAGTCTAGTATTGAATGAGAAATAAGACATCAAAACGGCTGATATATGTCTCTCCATTGGAATTGTATTACATTTTTTTCAATTCTAAGTTCACATCCCTTTTCATGGATTTAAAGCCCAAAATCATGATTTATAACGACATTTATTATAAAAATCCCAACGGGAAGTCTACTATGAATGCTATCCATACTATCCATGAACTATATTATCCAAACCTCATAATCCCAGACATTGGTTTCAAACTGAGTCATAGAATGGGTGGTAAAAGTATTGGACAAAAGTGTGGCTTTACTTATCATTTATTTCATAAATATAATGAATATCAAACCAAAAAAAGTAAAATATAATCATTATTATAAATATTTAAATGCAAATACTTTTCAAATTATAATTTTTTTATAAATAATATTTTATTTATCAAATTTAATAAATATTTAAATAATGTACAGTATGCCTAAGTTCTAAATTTATATTTATTAAACATAACATAAATTAAAAAATACTTTATAAAGTTTGTAATCATATCATCAAATTTTTAATTTATTAGTTTGAAAATATTCAGTACTATATTGGTTAGTGGCTTTTATAATTAGATTATTTAATAATATGAAATGATTATAATATAAAATTTATAAAATTTTGAATATAATAATTTATTTTTTAAAGAAAATTAATTTAGTAAAGTTATAAATGTTTTATTAAATAAAAAACATAAATTCTCTATTATAGACTTAATTGTAAATATAGAATAATTTAATCATAAGTTTTCATTTATGATGTTATTTCGCCAAATGAATTATTAAAGCAATAGTAATGCAAACTTACAAATAATATATTTATTAAATAAAGTAGACATGAGATTAACAGAATATTCTGCTCCAAATGCACTTACAATCAGCTCATTAATCATAATTATAGTAAATAAGGTTTAAAAAGAAAAAAAAGAAATTGACAGACAAACAGATAGATAGATATATAACAAAACTTACTGATTAAGAGATTTATCAATTCAAAAGTAAATACTAATAGGATTGCAATGAATAATATCAAACAATGATTTTTCGAGTCATTAAATATTTATTGTCATTACGAGTGATGTTCACAAATAATCAGTAAATTATTTGCTTATTGTCTTTAAATGAATAATAGATTGAAGAGATGACTACATCTAAACAAAAGACATCAACAAAACTGGCACTAATTAGAGGCCAAAGAAGTGTTATTTTCAGAGACTTTGCCGCTTATAGACAGGCACTGGAAAAACATAAGTATAGTATTGATGCCCCAAATTGGTTGCAATCAAAGCGTAGGACATCCACACAAATGGCACAAAATATTACAAGTAATACATCTATATATCATATTTTATTTATTCATTTTTATACAAAAAAAATAAGTTATTTTACTTTAATATATAAAGTCTTGAATAATATTTAAAAAAATAATATTCAATATAAGTAAAAAATTTGATTAAAAAAACAAAAGTTTGAAAAAATAATAAAAMMTTAAGAAAAAAGTTAAATCTTTTTTCTGTATAATTCTTATATCTATACATATAGTTTATAACCGTTAGTAATATAATGTGATTTTTCATATATCTCATCCCTCATCTCTCTCTCTCTCTCTTTCGCTCTCTATGTTCCCCACTGTGTGTCTGTTATATATCCATCTGTTTTATAATATATAACAACATTAATGGCAAACAAAAACATCAGATCTAAAGGAATGGCTGATCTTAATATGTTTGACGTTTAATAATGGAGACGACGGCTTTTGTTTGCAGCAAAAAGATATTCAAATGTTGAGACCCTTTCAGAAAGTTAATAGAATTCCCGGATTAAGGAATCTCTTGTGGAAAAGGGATACTTTCTGTACGACTATGAGTGAGGCCCGCAAAGTGCACCGTTAGTATACTTGCATACTATTTATCATAAAATATTTAGTTTGTGTTATACAKTCGTATTGAAATTTGCATAATTTCTATTTAAACAACAATTTTATAATGAAATAGTTATAATGAAAAATCCAGTGACCCCACTGTGCTTTGTTATGCCCAATCAATTTCAACAGTTCGTTGATGTTGCTGAAGGTATGTCTATTTAATTAATTTGGACTATATATACATATATATATAAATAGTAATATTATTATTAGTAGATTTCAAAACATTCAAAATTTAATGTTTCTAAGCAATAATGTTGTATCAAAATTATCAGAATTGAAATAATAATATTTATTTGTATTAATAAGCGATGGGATATTCTGCTGAATGGCTTCTCAAACCGATAACCATTGGGAGTCATGTGTCCGGAAATGGTCCGCAACTCATCAATATATTCACAAATGAAGGAAGAAATAAATTGAGAGAATATAACATCAAAAAAGCAGTTATACAGCAATATGTGGCCAATCCGTTGCTAGTGTTTGGACAACCCGTCAATTTAAGACTCTATGTTATTGTCACATCAATGGCACCACTCAGGGCTTATGTACACAGCGAGGGTCTAGTGTTTCATCGATATGAATATAACAAGAATTATAAAAAGGTGATAAAATAATAGCCAATAAATTTAGAAATAAATTAATAAACATTAATTTTTATCATCTAAATCAACAGATTCCGGGACGCACTTGGATTTTGAGCCAATTTTGGCAGTTTATCTCAAAAAACTATGGAAATGACAAAACTAAGAGAACCATTAACCGCATATATCGGGCTATTTTGCAGACATTACTGATAACTGAAGCTATGCTTATAACACAACAACAGCAACACTCAAGAATGCATTCAAATTCAATTAATTCAGAGACAAATGCTTTCACAAAATGCAACTCTTGTTTTCATTTAATGGCTTTTGATATCGTTTTGAACGCAACTTTAGACCCCTTTATCATTGGTTTGTGTTAACTAATGTTTAGCTTATAATTTAATGACAATTACTTTTATCTGAAAAAAGTTTTTAATTAAATTTAAACAACTAATTTTTTTATTTAATTAATTCATTTGAAATACATTATGAAAAAACACTGTAGATTTGAATGGACAGCCAAATATGCAGGAATCACGCAAAGATGAGTCACCACTGATAGGCAAAGTAAAAAAGTTAGTCATTGACGATGTCATTGGTCTGATCAGTGCAACTGATTCTGTTGCCAATGATGTGTCCGAAGCATTAGACGAAGTAATTAATGATAATATAGGTGTTATGGGAACCAGTTGTCATATATCACATGATCTCTGTCTAAGTCGAGATGATTTAAATTACTTATTGAACTCAAGACGAGAAGCACTCAGTAAGGGCTCATTCAAGAACTTGTATCCATCGCTGGGAATCGACAATAACAATGAATTGATTGAAGAATTGAGTCAATTGATTGTTGCTCAACGTGTGGATCAAACTCCAGATGAAATAACAGTTCACAGAACGGCTGATCTTCATTCTCTACTTATGTCTTTAGAGCGCTATTATTATAGGCATATCATTGATGAAGATTACGGTGACAGCGCCGGCAATACTAATGATCACTCAAATCACAATCAAATTACTATACAAAACAATTCAGTCTTCTTAAGCAACAAAAGTCCATTTGACTCGTCGGTCATTAATGATTGTTCCGATGGTAAGTACATAGTTTTACCTATAATTTATAGATGACATCTCATTTTGTGTGTCCACTACTAATATATAAAACATATAGTCATGAGATGTCATAGAAATACAAGTCATTAAGTGAAAGACAATTTATGAAATAATATTATTTGTATCGTTTGTATGATATTACAGAGCCATCAACTCTGCCTTATTTAGCGTCTATTGAATTGAGTCCTAAATTACAATTAATTCCTCCCTTTTCGCCATTCATTACACAATATCATTGCAACGTTTCCTACGAACAGCTTTTAGTTAACGTTTGGGCCAAAGCACACAACTGCCAGAGCGAAGTCAGATTAGACGACAAGTTTGGCTCATCCAGGTATGTATGACTTCCACACACACACACACACACACACATATATATATATATATATATATATATATATATATATATATATATATATATACTGTATATCAGTGCTCTTAAATAACTRGTATAATAAAAATAAATAATTTATTGATAAGTCATTAGTAAACTTAAGTGTTATGACTCTATCATAAATTCTTGACTTATAAATGACTCTTTTGCTGATCTGTCTCTTCACTTGTCTGTCAATGTCCGGACAGAGCGACAAATTACACACTCGGTATTGGGGTCAACAAGATATCACTGGTTGTGATCGATATATCACATACCGAGCCCTGGGTTATCAATACTTACACAATACTCATAAATCGTGTTCCTCTTAGCCATAAAGTGCCTGATTTTGCCGCACAACTACCTCATCGAGTTTGCTCTTTCACTCAAGTATGTCATTATTTAATTATAAGACCACTTCAATGGACACTTCATACCACTCCCAACAACCACTTAACTCATCCATTCTTTTAATATACTATTCAATAATAAACTTATTTATTAAACGCAATAAATAAATCATTTTAATATATTATCCTATATTTTAATAATTATTTTATTRTTGAATAGGACTGTGATATGAGAGTATTCTCACGTAATCAGTGCGGACTTACCGAACAAAGCAATTATCCCGATTGGAGGACATATCTATATAGACAATCATTAACAATAAAATGCAAAACAGGTGCCGAAAGTGGTCAGTGGTTGGTTCCGTGTGTTAGTTGCAGTAACTCGTCGTCGTGTTACTGGCATGAAGTCAGATGGGATCCAATCAACTGTCATTACCCAACATTATCACAAAATAGACTCCAACAGTGTCTGACTAATAAAAAGGTATTGCCATCAGTTACCATATAAAKCAAATTTCATATTCAATATAATTACATAAATTGAATATTAAATATTAATTAAGAAAATTATTCACTTTTCAATTATTTGTAGGGCTTATTAAACAAATTAAGTTCAGCACTATTTTTATTTATACTTATTTGCACACAAAGTTAGTTTATCCTATATATCATAACAGAATTATATTAAATATCATATTATATACAATATTATGTATAAAAATTAATTAACTGTATAAAGGATTATCGTTTTATGAAAATTAGATTTAATAAATAATAATATGAAATATTTTTCATAGATTTTAATTTGTTTCATAAATTTAACAGATTATGGGTGGAGTTATTTAAAAATTAGATTTTATTATTACAAAATAATGTAATATTAGTAAAAGGGTTTATGTTATGTTAAATAAATATTAAATTTTATTTTTTAAAAATGATAAGTTAGAAATTGAAAACTGTTAATTATAATTATTATTTAAAAATTATTATTTTATAGATATTATTTGTTGGAGACTCAACCAATAGAGGAATAATGCATTATCTGATTGAGAGATTTAATGGTTCACTCATGGACTGGGATAAGACACACGACCTCAAGATATACCCAAATATGAATCGAAAGAAAACTGTCATCAGTTTTGCATATTATCCCAAATTTTGGTTACCAACCAATCAAAGACCATCGTTTGATAAGGCAGTCTATCAACTCTTTGAAAAGTATAAAAATAATAAATAGTTTTAAATATTTGCCTTATTTTACTCAAAATATTTGGTTATTATCTTAACATTTAAAGAGTACAACCATTGGAAAACAGCTCAAACACTGTACTTGTCTTCGGTGGAGTTCAATGGTTAGCCACACAACACATCCATATGTTGCTTAAGACATTAGAAAAGTGCGTAATTTAAGTTTATTTAACTAATTTCTATATTAAATAAATTTACTAATAAAAGTGTCAACAATTTTATAGTTTGAAATTACAAGGCATTAAACTAGTAATGAAAACATTGGGCGCCGGCTTTCATCAACATATTGAAGGTGTTCACTGTCTTACTTTGGTTAGTAAAACACTTTATCATTGTATATATCATTGAATTCAATAATTGGTATTTTAAAACAAATATTGTATTGAATTTACTATTAGAAAGAGCAACAAAAACTAGCTCTTCATAATCAAGAGCTCATACAATATGGACTAAAGTTAGGCCTAGAAGTGGTCGACACATACAACATAACTATTGCCCGATTTAAAGACTTTATGCCTGGAAAGTGTGGCTGTCATTTTCATCAGGTATGGGACATATCTCAACCTAACTAATCCATTAAATTCAATAACTAAATACATGTCTAAATCTGTTTCAGGTATCAGAATTGTCTTCAAATGATATTAATTCAGTACAACCAACCTATCGAGTTGACGGTCCAATTAATGCTATTTATACTAATATACTAATCGGCAGAATTTGTCGCGACTTTGAAGATGAAACCGATTACTAATTGTCACAAAATAACAACTATTTAATTGGTATTCACTATCAATAGCATCAACTCTATGCCAAAACCCATTTTTCATACAATCATTTCATTCATAATTCAAATTCAACTGTGATTTTAAATATTTAATTAAATTTACTTTATATTTAAATAAAAATAATACAAATGTTATTTATTCAAATTTATAAACATTTGAAATGAAATAAAATAAATATTTCGATTCTAAATTTAACGGATTGGATACCTCCCGGAGCCACCAATTGGCCAACGAAAGTGTGAATTAGTTATTGAGAGAGCAATTCAGGTATATTCGTATATAACTCAATATAATCAGTAGACCCGGCGGTACTTTATGTGACAACAATTTACACAAATGGTAAACAATGAAATCATTGAATTCGGCGATTGAATGACACAATAGACCCACAGAATCGCGACAACACTTCGACAGAATCTGACAATCAATTAATTCAGACTAAAACACATTATAAACTTATAGTAGAAATAACACGTGTTTTGCACACTTCATACATAAAAATAATTAAATATAAATAACTTTTATTTAAATTAAAAATTAAGAATTTATTATTAGATTATTTTGTGGTTATTATAAACATATCAATTGTTAGACAGAAACACAATTGATAACAGTTCGGGACCGGCGTTACGATAACAAACTGTTTGACTATTCAGAGCGAGACTACAGACTATACAAACTCTAAACTTGAACTAAAAACATATTACTGTAAATTATAACATAATTTATATAACTCTCAAGTGATTTCGGTATGACTTTTGGATGAAATAATTTTTCAATGTTTCCTATAATACAGATTTGTTTCGTATCCGTTGTATTGGTGCAAGAATTGGACATAAAGTGTATAATTGTACGGATAGTTGATTTGCAACAAATCATGCCTTCTTTTCAAACAAATCTTATGGGTTTAACTATTGCCTAATTTATTAACAATTGATTTATAAACAATAATATATAATTTGATATTAAATACTTATTGATGTTTGAATAGTTATAATTAAAATTACTGATAATTAGTGTCTTGATTTTCAACTAAAAAAATTATTTTGTCGGTTTAACGCTTATAACTGGGACTTAGTATGTCCACTGAAGTTGACCAGTGGACGCTATTTCCGAAATTTTATTATAACTATAAATAACTATTTGTTAGGTTAGCAACTATAAAAACTTATAAATAACTATTTCAGTTATTTTGAAAAATATAAGCATTAGATTGTAAAATATTGCTCAAATATATGTAAAAACAAAAAATAATAGTTATATAAATTATATAACATGTGTAAACTGTTATCAACTCATATTACTTTTTTAACAATAGAAATAATTAGTTTATTTATATAAATCATTTTTGTAAATATGCTGAAATTATATATCAGTTGAAATATTTATAAGAAAATAAATAACTATTTCAATAACTATTTGGTTTTTTTTTGGCAATTATATACAACTATTTAATACAGTTTAAATAACTATTTTAACAACTATTTGACGTTTTTTTTGGCAACTATTATAACAACTATTTAATAGAGTATAAAAAATTATTAATCAATACACTACTGATAATATATGATATACAGTATTAGTTATCATAGTTTATCAGACAATGAATTTCAGTTTTTTTGTGTTTTATAGGTTTTTGTTACAGTTTTTGAAAACATCGCTAATTATTACAGAATATTCTCGTGACTAACGCATAGAGACCTCTAGTACTGTATAATACAATCAAAGCAATGAATACAATGTGTTGTAGTGTTTGTTGTTATCATTGATCACACAATTGAAACAAATGTTAGATTTCATTATATTTGCCGTCACTTTTGTGGTCGCACTCATCGGTGTTGTTGTATATCTCTATCCCGGATCAAGACGTCAAACAACTATCGATGGATTAGATCCAAGTCATCCTAAAGATGGAAACTCTGCTGATATCATACGTGCCAACAGTTTTCATAACTTTCTCATACAATTACACCACAAGTTTGGATCAATTGTGTCGTTCTGGTTGTTCGGCCCAACGCTGGCCATCAGTGTCCGCACCGATGAACTGATAAATACTTTGGACTATTTGACKCAAAAGCCACGCGAAGTGACAGAAATATTTGAACCGTTTTTAGGACCTAAAAGTGTTTGGTTTGCCGACAAACATGATCTGAGAARACAACGGATTTTGTGGACAAAGATGTTTGACAACCAATCAATAGATAGTCAGACACCGGTTATCACTCAATTGATTGCTGAGTTGATCCACAAGTGGTCATCATTGCCGGCCCGACAACACATACCACTCGGAAATTATATGAAAGTATTTACAATAAGATTGTCTCTCATTACTGGTTTCGGCGAATACTTTCGTAAGAATAACTCCGAACTGATTGACTTTAGTAGAAGTTTCGAGAATTGTTTCACTGAACTCGAGACCAGAATAAGTGGTGATTTACCCTCTGATAAGAGTGTCCGTACCGATCGTTTTCAAGAATCGGTAGCCAATTGCCGACAACTATTGCAAAACGCGTTGAAAGACATGCGAAACAATCCTTCGGATGCAAACAATTGTCTTTTTAAACATTTTATAGAAGATAACAGTGAAGATGTACTCATCGATGAGTCGATGACTTTTGTGTTTATGTATTACTCTATGTCTTCGGCACTCATGTGGATATTGTACTACTTGTCGGCCGAACGAGAACTACAATCAGAGATCAGCCAAAAGTTTCGCTTCAATATTGAAAGCGATTTAATTGACAGATTCATTGATTGTGCCATTACTTCAGCGAATGTTATTCAATGGACTTCACGTGTGAATCCTGACGTCGAGAATCAATTGAGCGGACATATAGTGCCAAAGGAAACCCCTATTATTTGTAGTCTCAGTTCTGACCACTTTCTTGATTGTGACACTGATTCTCCATTAGACATATTTCGGAAACATTTGGATGCCATCGATGATAAGCCATCGCTGGCTTTCGGATCAAAAAACTCGAAGCGTTGCTGTCCTGCCATTCGTTACTCGAAATTCGTTATAAAAGAGTTAATTACTGAAGTATTGATGAATTTTGAATTGGAATCAATAGACTTGGATCTCATTCCGCGACAAATATATGGTATTTACTCGAAAAGCGAAGAAGAGATTTGGATTACAGTTAAGAATCGCAAATAGTATTGACTTTATAATCACTTTATGTATTAATTGATTATATAATTTAAAATCATGATTAACAGTATAATTAAATATATTTCACTATTTTTTAAATAATATATTTTATTTACTATTTTTTATTTTCCTTATAATAAAATCAAATATTGTGTGTTATTATTAACTTATTACAAGTCTTWCTATATTTCAACTATAATTTTAAGAGTTTTTTATAGTACGGTAAACATTAAAAAAAAACATTTGTAGTATTGTATTGTAATTGAATTATTTATTTAAAATAAGTGTTTCATTCATTTTAACGGTATTTAATGGTATTTCATAGTTAGACCACTCAATAAAGTCAGACATTACTATATTAGGACCCTTAGCACCGGCACTCTTACCATTCATCCACTCATTGATCCTAATGTTGCAAATGTCAGCCAAATCTGTTTCCAGCGACGAGAAGAAGTGTAGTCCAACGTAACTATTACTGGGAGTCAGTATTGCTTGCGTTACATACATATTATTAAGAGGTCTGTCAGCGATATGAAAGTCCAAAAATTTTGTTAGTTTTTCTCTACTCATTGTATTGGCCCACGGGTTCGGTAAACATCGAGATGGCCATAGAGTCGGTGCTTCCATACGAGCGCTTTCATTGCGATAATAAACAAAGACCTGTTGTCTTCTCTGCCATAAATATTTTAATGTTATTTTATCCATCATTGTCTGTGAACTGTATGGAACTAATTTATGATCAAATATTGACATTATTTTTCCAATCAATTGTTTGTGATCTTCATCTGAAAGTTTATAGAAGTGTTGGAAATCAATAAAAACAATTTCCTGTGGATTCATCTCAAGGAATGCATTGATTTCTTGTAAAATATTGTCTACTTGTGGTCCATATAAGCCGTGACAAAAATAATAGTTATTATCGTCTACTTTGGATGCRATCCTCAAATCGATATAACGAATACCGGCCAACAATTGATTGGTCACATCCAGTGTCTGTGTTTTAGTCCACCGATGTATTGTCGGCAATGAAAAACATTTACATAAGTTAACCCAAAATGAGTTCTCGAGATCGGGTCGATCGGGACTAATGCCGAGATCTATGTCCAGACCATAACTACCAGAATCGTGTGAACCTGTTATCAGTAATAATTACATTAGTTATCAAATAATAAAAATTWAAGGCATTGTCACACCAGGAATGGTTAGTTTCCAAATAGCAATGTCTTGTAATTTTGTTGATATGTTTGTCATCCAATTGTTTAACTCTTTGGGAACAGACTTCTTGATGTCTAATAAGACGACTCTCTGTTCATTCAAATCATTATCAATCATACCTTTCTTTTCATTACTTATAGACATTATTATAATAATTATCACAAAATAATTATAAAATTAAACAATTGTTAATTAAATGGTTAATCAATTTACTAATTAAAATCATTTTAAACTTTTATAAAAGACTAGAGTTTTCAATAAAAACTTTTTATTATTTATTTATTAGTTAAACATTAAAAATAGATATAAATAATACTGTAATGTATTGTACAGTAGTGTTGAAAATATTATTATTTATCATATGATTAGTCAATATATGTAATCATATGTGCGGTCAATGACTCACTAAATCATTGAATGAGTCTTTAAAATGACATTTAATTACTTAAATCATTATATTATTCACATAATTGTCTATTAAATACTAATTCATTAATTCAAATAACATTACATTACGTTATAATTATTAACATATTATACAAATTATTTCAATTACTTAAGTTAACGCCTATTTAAACCAATAGAGGTGTTTACTGTTATACAATATTATACAGTATTATACAGTATTATARTATTTTACATTTACTCTATAATATTAACACAGTATTAGATAGAATTATAATAACAAATAGCTTATAACTAAATTATAACTTTACTTAATATTAAATGTATTTTAATTTATAAAACATTTATAAATTATATCATTTGTTATTATAATTAGTTAAATAACAAATATGTGACTAAAATTAAAATCAATTGCATGTATAGGTGTTTACAAATTAGTGGACTCTATATGTGATGACGTCATCGCATTAATTGTCATTTGTTTATGTTTTTTGTCAAATAAAGCAAACATTGAATTGATTGCTAAATATGTTAGCATTAGCTTTGAATGTATGGGTATTTTGATGTAAATAAATATCAATTAATTGAATGGCAATTGAAAATCAATCGATATATTTAGCATTTATTACTTTTTAAGTCTGTTTTCTCACTAAACTTGATTTTTAATAGTTTTTTCAAAAGTTATTTATGATTTAATTATAATTGAATTGAAACGTTATGTTTAACCGATTTAAAAGTGCGATAAACAATGTGATCAACAATTTGGAGCCAAATAGTGGTTTGGCCAACGGTGCGGGCGATGCACATGTGGTCAGTCATCATAGCAGCCAATCGGGTCATACATCGGGACCACCGCTTAAGTTTAGGTATACGAGACCTGAATTTCTGTTGCTTCAAACCGACGATGAAATCCAGGTCTCGGCCGACCATATAATGAGGGTTTGTGTTATTAATTGACATTTATTTGATTATTAATTTAAGTCTCATTTATAGCCAATTATTGTTCCCCGAGATATCTCAAGATTGCCATTCAATGCAGGATATGCTGAGTAAGTGATTAATTAATTATGTAATAGTTATTGAAAAAATAATTTACCGGTACTTTACGACAGGACGATAAATGCGGGTAAAAGTGTCCGCAATGAAGATCACGCGGCTGTATATAGAGGAACACTTAAAGCCGTCGTCTCGGATGAGATGATAGCCAATAAAGTGTCTGATATGATGTCAACAGTTCCCGGACATCCGCATCAAATACCTATTGGTAATAAACGAAATACCCATCAGAAAACTATATCAAAAGCTAACGAAGCCAATGAAAAATCTAAAGACATAAGTGATAGTAATATAAGTGATGGCAAAGAAGTTAAAGCCTTTAATGGCAATGACATTTCAGATCAAGTTAGTGACAACAAAGACCAAACCGCCGTTACAGCTGATCCCCAAACACTGCCTCTAAACGAGTCGACAACAAATCCTAGTGTCGATGATTTGATGTCTCCTTCAATTCCCATTCCTATAGAAGAGCGTTTAGCAGAAGCAATAAGCGATACCATTGAATCTGCTTATGCGACACCAGAAACATCACCTCAAAAAACTCAGAAGTCTATAAGAGAAGAATCGCTTCCATGGCTTTACTTTGCAGTTTTTGATGGACACGCAGGTCAGTCATAAAGTACTTAAAAGTTTTGTACAACAGTATTCATAATATGATATTTTTATACTAAGGATCTGGAGTTGCGGTAGCCGTTTCCAATACATTACATAAAATAATTGAAGAAAAACTTCAATCAATTGCTGATCTCTTAATAAAGTTTGGTATAACAAATGATAAAAATTTATGTGTAAAAGGAATTAATGAAAGTGAATCGGAAGCAAAACAATTGAATGGAAGTGTTGTCATCAATCAGGATAACCATTTGAATAAAGAAAAYATTGCTTTACTATTTCATCCGTCAACTGAAAAATGGATAACAGTTGACAATCTGATAACCGGTGCACTGGAGTCTGCCTTTTGGCAAATGGATAATATTATTGCTCGCGATAAACGAGTTTATCGTATGTCTGGAGGGTGTACGGCATGTGTAGGCGTTTTTATTTTGGGCAAACTTTATGTGGCTAATGCCGGTGATAGCAGGTATTTATATTGGATTAAATTTTATGGTATATTATACAGTAAAATAATACATTAAACATATTATTATTTATACGTAATTGTAGAGCAATTATATGTAAGGGTAAAGATGTGGTTCCCATGTCTTTTGATTTTACACCGGAATCAGAGAGAGAAAGAATCAAATATTTGGTTTGTATTTATTAAGAAATTTTTCTACTGATTGATTTGTTGATAAACTATTGATTTTCATTACTGTCCTATAATTATAGGGTCTTTTGAAACCAGAACTATTAGGCAATGATTTTACACATTTGGAGTTTGTTCGCCGACCGGCGAGAAGAGATTTGGGCAAAAAATTGTTATACAGGGATGCCTTTATGTCCGGATGGTATGATTTATTATTATTTATTTATTAATATTTAGTATTAACGGTAAATAAAACATATCTACTATCAGGTCATATAAAACAATTACTATCGAAGACCTTAAATTCCCACTTATTTATGGCGAAGGAAAAAGGGTTTGCAAACAAAAATCAATATTCAGTCAATTTTCAAAAATGTTATTAATATATGCATTAGAGTCGAGTTTTGGCAACAATAGGTGTTACCCGTGGTTTTGGTGATCACGAATTGAAAGCTCAAAACAGTGACGTCGATATTAAACCATTTTTGACGCCACAACCGGAGGTAATTAAATAATTGAATTGATATTATTTTTAATTTTAAATTATTTGCTAAAAGGTTCGCATATATGACTTGGAAAACGATAACAAGTTAACAGATGCCGACGTTTTAGTTATTGGCACCGACGGGTTGTGGGACATTACTACCAATGAAGTGGCAGCTGATGTCATCAACAAATCATTAGATGTCTTCCCAGCTAATGATGTCCAACGATACAAATATCGCTACATTTCCGCCGCACAAGACTTAGTGATGCATTCCAGAGGAAAGTCGCGCGAAAGTGGAAAGGGGTGGAAGACTGTCGACAACAAGACAGCTACCATTGATGACATCAGTGTTTTTGTCATTCCATTGAAACCATATATTGATGAATATATTAATTGGAAGTCCGCCCGAAATGTGGTATTAGAAAAACCATTCAGTGATCGATAATTATAAAGCAATTACTGGTAAATTATTTTAAACTCAAATTTTGTATCATATTTATATCACATCATACTGTATAACATATTATTATGATTGTGTGATACATTTGCTTTATTTGAGACGACTAACTCTAAGAAAAATTATTTGCAATCAAAATACCGGTATTTTATTAACAATCAGTCAATCAGAGATTCATTAAAATGTTTAAATGATAAATAAAATTACCGGTAATTTCCTCAAATATGTTTATAATTATGTTGTTTAATGTATTATTCAATATTTATTTTTTTGTTCATTATTTTTCAAACATTTTTTATATGTTTCAACGATGTTTGAAATATTTTTATTTAAAAATATTGATAAATATAATTTTTAATGTATTTTTAAATTAACAAAAGAATGATTTATTTGAGTGATATTATAAACCGAACCAATTTAACGAATTTAATATATTTTAAAATAAATTTTAGTACAAAATAAAAACTTGAATTAGTGGACAGTTAGTCTTCACCGGCGGGTAAGGCGTCCTCTAATTTACGAATAAATTTGATTCTTAATTCAGTAGTGGAGTCACCTTTGAGAGAGTCCTGAACGAACCACACCTGCACTTCAATTTGCACCTATAGGTCATACAAATGGTTTAGTAAATAAACTAAATTATAATTACATATAGACTGACCATTTCTAGTGCACCTCTAATAACACCCATCAATAGATTAGAGTACTTGAGTTGAGCCAAATGGTCGGGCAGTTCAACGTATTCAGTGAGAGGATTGTTGTCTATAAGCAATGAGAACTCGTCATTAGCTGCCGACCAGTTGGCCACCGATGGACTGATTCCTAAATACATTTTGAAAGCCGACTGAATCTTATCGGCCGTCTCTTTCATGTCATGACAACGACCCGAATTGGTTTTCGCTAAGAAATCTTCAACTAATCTCAAACCAATATTATAACCCCTGAATACATAATAAATATAATATAATTAAATACTTCGTGTAAGACATGTCATACATTCGGTCCAATTGTTTATTAACTTCTTCTGCATTATCATAATCTTTGATAAGTTGTGCCACAAGTGATCCATAAGTCAGTGTAAATAAATCACAGCTCTGTATAAATAAATGACTAATAATTAATCAAAGATTGACCACAAATAGCAAATGTCATGTCTGACCACTTTCTTGGGCTCCGATGCTTTCGGTGTCTGTCTGGACATCACTTCACTTACCAGTCATTCAATCAATTAGTAAACAATTAGACAATCATTTGATATCCAAAACACTAATCAATATTAATATCAATTCAATACTCTTTTCATATACTTTATGCAATACAACTATAGGTGTTTGCGGTAATTCATTGATTGATTTTTAGTTAAAAATAAAGTACTAATTAATGTTTAATCAAATGAAAGTTATGTTATGACCATTTAATTGTAATTTAATTGTAATTATTAAATACAACCTTGCTATTATATTTATAAACAATTATCATAATTTTTTAATTGGCTTTTTATTTAATTTTAAATATAATTTTAGTATAGTTAACAAACATCTCTACCGATTCAAGTGAAGGTCTATAGAATTGAGTGATTGTTTTGTTGAGAATTTGTATGAAATATCAATAAATAACAAAAATATTTAACATTTAATACATTAGTTGTTGAATACAATTGAATACAATTGACATTCATTTATACCATTGATTTGATTGATATTATTGCTTAAGATTATCATTGGATTCAATTATGAAATAAAATAATAACTCATTTAAGACATCTTAAGAGATAATGTCGTCTTCAGCTCAATCATCGCCTATAAGAGTTGGATCTGTTTATGGAAAGTCAGGTTTGGTATCGACAGCGAAGTCAACGCTCGCAGAACAGACATCACGACTGCAGAACAAACACAACATCGATGTCGACATTGTTGATGATCTCAGAAGTTTCATCAAAACCAAGTCTAACATTGAAAAAGATTATTGCAATCAAATGATTAAATTAGTGAACAGTCAGTCAAATAGGAAGTATCCGACACTCGAGGCAGAGAATGACTCACAAACCATGTAATACATACACCTCTTGAAGTATTTTAAGTATATATTTATATAATTGTTTTGTTTAATTAGATCTCTATATACTTCGTGGAAAACATATCTGGAAGAGTTGGACAAGTCGTCGAAGAATCGTTTGGCACAATTTGATCAGTTGACACAAATCTGCGACCTATTGAAGCAAATTAAGACCAGAAAAGTACAAATCGCTAAAAAATCTATTGATCAACACTTGAAGTAATTATTTAAACAATTTTTAAAAAATTAAATTATAATGTTTTAGTTATACATTAATGTTATTTTTGAATATCAGAAAAATGCACGAAGAAGTGTTGACATCAGTTGCAGAGATTGACAAAACACGTAAACTGTACTTCGAAGACGAACACATGGCTAAACAGGCCAGAGATAAGGATGAAAAGTATTGATTGCATTTGTTTTGGTTTTTATTATTACTATTTTTATTATTATTTTTATTATTTACCAGAATTAAGAAACAAAAATCCGGTATATTTTCATCATTGAGTAAATTGCAGACAAAGAAAGATAAGTGTTCCGCACAAAGGGAAGCATCAGATATACAGTCAACTCAGGTATTTATAAACAATTTAATTTTAATTGAATACATGTTTTTATCTATATTTTAATTATACATTAAAATGATTGTATTGTATTAAAGGCTCGAAACGATTACTTGATGGCATTGGCCGCAGGAAATGCACATTTAGATCATTATTATTCACTTGATTTGCCACAACTTATTGTTAACATTGACGACACTGTTCTCGACAAATGCAAAGGTTTGGCAATATTTCTAAATAACTATTTTTCTTAATGTTTTTACTGTAATTATGTTAACACTATCTGTCTTAAACTATATCAATGCTTTTCCTTTAAATTTTAATATAATGAATATTAGGATTTATGTTATCATTGCTTGAAAGCGAAATAAATGCCATTCAACTAACAAACGAGTCTTTAGATAAAGCTTACCGTCTGATTAACTCTTCTTCTGCTGATTTTACTAACAAAGCCTTTATGGCTGAACAACAATCTGCGTGTTTGCGGTCATTAATCTCTTTCTATAATTATTTTATATTTATTTTCAAATTTTGATTTTATTTTACTAAATTGCGGTATATTTATTGAAAAATGATAATTAAATTTATTGATAAATTCAGTGAATTATTGGTGTATGACTTTGAGCGATGCGATAACGATAACATAGACATCATATCTTTGGATTACAACGCAGACATTGCATTGAGAAATGAAGTCCAGAAATGGTTTACTTGGTTTTCAAAAGATTGTCGAAATTTGAATCGACTTTCACAACAACTAATTAAGTGTCAATCACTGTTAGCTGAGGGACATAAGGTATTAGTTGTATTTATTTACTGGTAATGACTTGTTTAGACATTATATGATATATTTGAATATTTAACAGACTGTTGAAGTACCGAATCAGAGCAATCCAGTGGACATTGAGAATCGTATCGATGATATTAAACAACAGATCAGAAAATGTGAAATTAGTAAACTTAAAGCCAAAGCTAGACTTGATATCATTAAAAATGGTATTTTAATTATTTTTTATTTAATAAATAATTTATTACCGTATTATTGCTAACTTGTCTATTATAAGCTGGACTTGAAATTGAAGACTACGAAAGTTTTGAGGCACAGGTAACTACTGAAGTTAAACAACAGTCATTATCATTGGATGTGGACATTGGTATTGGAGTTCCATTGAGCAGAACTCCTAGTCTCAGAAGTACTAATATAAGCACTTATAGCGATGGCGGACGCATTTCATCACTCGATGGAAAGTAAGCAAAACATTTAAATTCTTTATTTTTTTTCTAACTCTTAAGTATTATATCAGTCGTTCGGATGATCAGCAAACAGATACAGATCATTATCAAACACCAGAACCAGATCTGACATCAGGCCGATCAGGTCGTCCTGAGTCTTCGAGTTCAGACCAATTGGAATCACCAGATCGTGAATACAAATACAGCACTTCATCTGATCAACAAAAATATAGTACATCTTCTTTTGATGCGCAACAGTCACAGGGATGGACTGATTATGATCCGACACAACCCGCTTGGGAAGATGAGCCACCGGCTCAAGAGGTTAATGAAGATTATGATAATAATGTAGAAACTGTTGATGAATCCAATAAGCAATACAATGCTTCATATGATTACACACCACTTGAGGGGTATTTGTATTATTTAATTATTAAAAGTTATAATTATATTTAAAAATTGATTAAAACAGACCATTACTTGTGGGCAAAACATGTCAGACATTATATCAATACGAAGCTCAGACTCAGGACGAGTTGAGTTTTGTGGAGAACGAAAATATTATTGTTTTGGAAGCAATAGATAATGATTGGGTTAATGGACAGAATGATAGATGTATGACAAGACATGCATTTGTATTATTTTAATTTACTTTAATTGTATAACAGATATGGTTGGTTATGTTCCGGCCGCCTATTTGATGCCAATCGGTGACGCACCTCAAGAGTTGATGCCATCTACTGAACCAATTGAAGTTATTAATGATAATAATGATATAGTTATTGAATCTACAAATGAACTTCAATTGTCAACCGATGCCACACAAAGAACTCAATCTGCAGATAGTTTTGTAAAAGCTATTTATGGATATACCGCCACTTCTGAAGAAGAGATGTCATTCAGTGAAGGTTTAATTGATTGTATGATTTTAGATGTTTTTTTACTAATTCTTGCATTTTAGGTGATATACTGAAACTCTTAAGCAAATCTGAAGACGGCTGGTGGACGGCTGAAAAGGACGGCATTATCGGACACTTTCCATCGATGCTCGTCGAAGAACTTAATGAAGACCGTGATTCGGGAGCTTTTGCTGGTATTTGTGTATTTAAACTAAAAATTTAATATTTATTTTATTAATGATTGCAAATCACAGAATCAGGAGAAAGTGGCGAATCTGATGTTTCAATTGGTTCGCCGACAACACCATTAGCCCCTCCGCCTTCATTTGCACCCCCGAAACCAGCTTATCTCACACCACATCAAGTAGTTATTATTCAACCGACTCCTGATGTCGAGTCGAAACCATCACTTGGAGATAAAATAGAAGAAAACGAAGAGAATATAACTGAATTGAATGAAGAACTTCAAGAAGAAGCAAATGAAGACAATGTTGAGATCAATGTTAATACAGAATTTATTTTAGAAAAACCCATTCCTAGGATTATTGAAGGTTTGATTGATTTTAATTTAATAGTTATTTAATTTTATATAACGAGTAATATAACACAGAAACGTGTGGACCCAATATTGATTACGACGCCGAAGATGAAGACAATGATATTCAAATAGATGTGAGAAATGTTATAAATAATTGAATTTAAATTTTTAAGTTATCGTATAATCTATAAAATGTAAATATTTTTTCAGACAAATGATGACAATTTTGACAATAATTCGGATGAAAGTGAAGAACAGACATCAATTGTAGCCATAGATAGAGCTGTAGTTAATGTAGAGGCCATTGAAGTGACCGCCGGAGAGATATCAGAAGCAATAACTATGGAAGCAATACAAGCGGCCAATCAATACAATCATGATATCAATGATTATAATATCACTCTTAATAATGAAGTGAATCATCAAAATTATTGCAATGAAGACTCAGATTATTTAGATGAAGAAGACAACAAATAAACAATAGATTTGATTTCAGTATTAAATTTGAGTTAAATATAGTGTTAAGTCATAATAGACACATAAAATCATTGATTAAAATAGTGAACGAAAGGTTTTAAAGAATATATGTATATAAAAGAGATAAATGATTAAAATAAAAATTTAATTGTTTCTAACAATTACGATACGATAATAATATGTTATGTATTGTTGCACAGCTCTGGGATTACAATTTATCAAATCATATATAGAAAAGTTATTCACATATTCTAATAATTTAGAAAATTATTAAAATAGAAATCAAATCAAATAAACTAAAATATTAATAATTCTATATTAAAATATCAAGATTTATGTTTTATTTAAATAATTTAGTCTTATTTTATTGTATTTATGAAATTTATAATTAATACATGAATTTACCGGCAAATCTTTATTAATCTAAATAATAAAATCTTTATATAATGTTAATAAAAATATTAGTATTTTATATCTCAGTGTTTACCAACTGCTCAACAATATATGACTAAAATATTAAATATTAATAAAATGCAAAAAATTGTAATCTTATATAGAAGACTCTTATATATATATATATATATAATTTAAAACCTTTATATATGTTATTTTCAATATAATAATTATTAATGTAATTGCAAAAAGTAGTAAATAATTAGATATAAAGTATTAAAATACTTATGTTGTTATAATAATATTAACTAAAATGAAATCTATAACCCAATGTTACACAATAAACGATAAAAATGTTATAATTTTAAATTATATTAATTTGTATAACAGTATAAAATAAATGTTATGATTTAAAATATATAATATTAATTACTGGAGACATTTTAGTTTAACATTCATATCGGAACCTAATCTAACAAAACTGCAGAACCTATCTTTAAATATACTTCCAAAATATTTTAATAATTTTAATATTATAATTGTTTTAGTAATTTTTATATTTTAATATTTAGTTTCAATTTATTCTATAATAACTCAATGTATAGATTCAAAACATTTTAATAATTTTAATATTATAATTGTTTTAATTATTTTTATATTTTAATATTTAGTTTCAATTTATTCTATAATTCAATGGATAGATTCAAAACATTTTAATAATTTTAATATTATAATTGTTTTAATTATTTTTATATTTTAATATTTAGTTTCAATTTATTCTATAATTCAATGGATAGATTCAAAACATTTTAATAATTTTTTAATAATTAAGTCTCATTCAATTTACTTATGATGAATAATTTTAAATTAGTAAAAGAATTGCACGGCTATACATTTTGCTCGGGTAAACTAGTATATATTTAAATAATTTTAATAAAAATTGTAAATTTAATAATTTTTGCGAAAAAAAATTGCATTTGAAAAAAAATTACAAAAATTTAGCACAGGTAGCTTACCTCCCGGTGCCCTAAACTCACACAATATAGCAAAGTGTAATTACACTACACCTGCCTACCTGTCCCTAAAATCTACCAGTGCTCAATAAACATTTAAAATTTCCCATAGAAATAGCATTGCTTTAAATAAAAATTGAAAATTTTAACATAAATTGAAAATTTTAACATAAATTGAAAATTTTAACATAAATTGAAAATTTTTGCATTTGAGAAAATTTTACAAAAATTTAGCACAGGTAGCTTCCCTCCCGGTGCCCTGTGACTCATATAATATAGCAAAGTGTAATTACACAACACCTGTCTACCTGTCCCTAAAACCTACYTGAGCTTTATAAAAATTTAAAATTTTCCATAGAAATAACATTGCTTTGAATAAAAATTGAAAATTAACAATACAGCTTTAGATTTGAATTAAAATATGGTTGTTGAAGAAAGGTGTCATACAGACAAACAGAAATATTATCTTGTGTTATATCTTGATATAAATTTAAAATTTCTTAAGAGTTTAGRCGWGTGTTATTGGTTCTGGAGTTTTGTTACATTAGGTTAAGTAGTGCTTAAAACAAATTAGGCAATCATTCAAATTACTTATCATTGTTTTAAAATTAATAAAATAATTGCATGACTATTACATTTTAATTGGGGACAAACTAATTGTTTTTATTATTTTTACATTTATATTATATGATATTACATGTAATTAATGGCACTAATTATTAAATATAATATAAAAGAGTATATTTGTATAAAAACTAAACAATAGTTGCATTTCCATTGCTGTGGTCTTTACTGTCAATCTGTTGTTCAAACCATACAAACTTCTTATCCGAAGACATACTACTAGAAGACGAATCATTTTTAATCAGATTATCAGTCAATGAATTATGAGTTTCATCTGAATGTTTCGTTTCATTAATTTCGTTGATTTTATTATTATTGTAATTATTGATATCATTGTCGCAGTTGTGGACTATTTGTGGTACCAATTGGTTGCTATTTCTATGTTTTTGACTGTATTTGTAGAAGTCTTCCAATTCGAATGGCTTCTCTTCCTCCCAATAGGGCTGGAAGTGTCCGACACTCACTACAGTCACTTCTACACCTTTACCCGACCGGATATTTGGTGACATCGGTATTACTTTCGGTTTTGATATCAATTTATCGATARTTATTGTTTTTTTAGTTTCTATACATTTATTTGTATCATTGTTTAGATAACTGTCTTGTGATTGTATAGATGGTGTCAATGATGATAAGTTAAACGATTGCATCAATTGTGGTGATGATGTTAGTGATGTCGGTGAAGATGTCATATTAGATGCATTCGTAACATTGATATATAACTCTTTGGTTAACTCGTTATTTGAAGTACTAATATCTTCAATCAACCTATTAATTGGTTTCATATAATTATTTTCCTTTGGTTTTGAATCACTTTTTGTCGGCAAAACAAAGTCCAGTGATGTCTCACACCAAGGATTTAGTGCTTTTGGTGTCGATGTCATCGGTTGTGACAATGAATAGAAATTATTGGAAATTTGCAAATGTTTTCCTGTCATCGAATCTTTCATTTGTAATACGTTTGTTGTCTGACTTCTTTGAATTGACTTTTCGTTTCTCACAGCAATTGATTCTTCAATATCTGACGAATTTCTTAGAGTTTGTGTCGATACGAATGCTTTATCTATGGTATCGATTGACATAATTGGTGAACTCGTATAAGAATTAGTTGTCATAAGATAATCATTTTGATTGGCTTTTTGTGTGATATAATTAGAGGTCTTATTATTGGTTTGTGGTATAGATGTCAACAATGGCGATGCATTTATAGGCGCATAATCTGACTGATCCGACCAAATGGCTCTATACGATGGATAGTGATTGTGATAGTGTTTGTGGTGAGTGTCATATAATTGACAGTTTGAATCAGTTGATCCTTTAGTTCCAATTCTTTTTCGTCGATTACTATCTAAACTATTACTTCGAGACAAATAACTTTTATAGTTGTGATAATCCTTAAGATTTTTATTGATAGCCGTCTGACATAATTCAAGATGAGTGTCGTCGTGAGTCTTAATGGCTGATGAGTCACCACTAGTGACAACATTATACTGATTGGTATTATTAGTTAAGAATGCTTTTGATTGATATTTGTTCTCAAGAGTTGATCTTATATTGGATTCATTAAAATATATGTCACTATTATTGTTTTCACCACTTGTTTTGTTTTCAAAATCGTTAAAATCATTGCTAAGTTTTCTAAGCACTTCATTGGACTCCTCGTCGGTGTCGTAATCAAAGACCGGATCAAACTTTGCGGCCGCCGATCGCGGTCTTTGAATTAGATTAGATCTGTTCACAACTGACGTAATCGATGGYGATAGTGATCGACGAACAGATTGATTATCGTTGAGTTTGTTTGGTTTAGACGGAAACGATGTCGAGAACAAACTGGCGCTTCTTCTCATAGCTAACTGTTTGTTTGACGCTTCGGTTACAACAAACTTATTCAAACTGTTAACACTTTTCTCATGCAATCCAGTGTTTAAATGATTGACATTTTCATCGGTCGTTGTTTCATCAAATGACTGATTACGGCGTGATTTAGTTGACTTTGAGGTTGCAATTTGACGCCTAACCACAACAATACGTGATTCCAAGTCTTTCATTTTGGCCAACGATTGTTGAAACGCATGTTTGCGTTGTTTGCGCACAATCTTCTTGACGGTCACATCTTTGGCCAGTTTGGCGGCCGCGGCCACGATCTTGCTTTGGATTTCGTACTCGAGCTCCAGTTTGGCAATTAGTTGCTCTTCTTTAGTCTTTGATTTCCATATTAATCCTTCATTTAATGTGAAACCACTGCCGACTCGGCGTTGTATTTGTGGTAACGGTTCGTGAGCTTTGAGAGGTGTTTCAGGCGGTAATTCGCCGATCAGTTCCTGAAATTTAGTTATTTATCACTAATTAAGACTTATATATCGATTAGACTTTTACAAACCCCTTCTTTAAGACACAATGTCTTGAGTTCATCCAACTTCTTATTCATGGCCTCTTCGAGCGCTTCCTTACGGACTTTCAACGTCTCAAACATTGTTTGGCAATCAGTTCATTGACTTAACGGCTGATCCAATTGGTTTGGCAATTGATGTTTAGCACAGATGGCACCCGACTTGAGTTATGAACTGAAGAGATGGTCAAAAAAACAGTTGACTGTCCAATAGATCTTTGGGCTATCGGTTCCCGAGTTGGCGATCGCAGTGACAGACATCCAGTCAAGTGATCATTAATGACATACATAGACATAATATAACCAAATAATCAAGTGTTCAATGACTGACTGACTGGCAAACTGGTGAGGAATGGGAGGAACGGGAGGAATGGCCTAACAGTTGTTGAGTCACTACTACTTGAGTCGTGTCTGTACTTATAGAGGACAGACATGTGTTGTGAGCACTGAGTCAATGAGTCATTCAATGTAACTATAAGTTTGGCGATTGAGTCACTCATATTCAACAATATATTACAATATATTATATTATTGTTAATGTTTTCTATTGACTATAAATATAAGCAGTTTTTTAATACCAATACCAATAACATCAACATTCTATTGCATTCAACAATATTAACAATACATAAATTACGTCATTTAAATGCTTACTAAATGATGCAACAGTGTTGACAATTATTATAATGATTGTGCAAGGTCAAAGGTCATATTGAGACTAGTGTGACCAGTTCAATTTGTCAATCAACACTGTAATTAGCATAAAAGTGACATCATACATTATATTTAAATGTCTATATTTTTGACCAATCATCATTTATAATGTTGCAACATTTAGTCTACTTTATTAATAATCTATCATGTTAGATTAATGTACAGTATAATAGCATGGTAAATTAAGTGTTTGATAATCTATTAGGAAATTAGCATTTACTTTATAGTAAGTTATAACTATACATATAATTTATAATTGTTTTAATTAATTTTTATAGTAAAAGCTAATATTAATTAATATTACATTAAAATGTTGGGAAATACTTACCAAAACAATGGTGTGAATTAATAAAATGATTTAAGTAAACAAATTACTTCATTTAAATTATATACTAATTTATTTATATTATATTAATATAAATAATTAATAAACAACTAAATTAAAAAGTTTCAATTCAAACACAAATTAGAAACAAGTTTTTATTAACGACTTTTATTTGTTAGTACTGTATAAACCAATTATTATTATTTGGTTACTATTAGAAACTTGTTGTAATTGTAATTAACTACTAAGTGATTATCAATAAAATGTAAACAAGGTTATTTGACAAATAAGTTACTTAATATTTCCTTTATTTACAATTGATAGCTATTATATAGACATAGTTTCAGTTAAACAATATTAAGAAATATTGATAAAAATTATTTGAAAAAAAAGATTACAATTAAAAATATTCAATAATTGATGAAAGAAGTGGTAGTGATTTACTACTAATACAATATTATTAATAAAACTATGTCTATAAAACCGTTAAACAAAGATAACACGTCTAATACATAATTTGATAAATGCTTAAATAATTAATATAAACATATATTTTACATATTTATGAGAAAAAATGAAATTAATTTAATATAATTCTGATTTCAAAATTAAGTGTTTAATGTTTGTGTTGTATATCTCGGACCACAAATGGTTTCGTTGGCCTCACATACTTGATCTGATGGTGCAATAAAAATCTTACCGCTGTCCGCACAGACACACAGTTGATATACGGGAACATTGGGGTAAATGATATGTGATTGAGGTATTGATGATGACGTTGAAGTGGTTGGTATAGTTGGCTCCAGATTCCTGAGTTGTATATTATTTGCTTCAAATGTTATCTGACATTAAAATTTAGAAAAATATAATTATAAAAAACTCTTCAGTATCCGTATCGCATTGATTGCTGTTTTTTCATACCTTTCCTTCATTTGATTTAAATTTCAAATCTTTAAGACTAATGGCTGACACGTCGCCGAGTCTGGACTCTAGTGCTATACTAATTGGCGCTACAATACTGGCCCGACGTTCCGGTGCTATGAGTCGAAGATTTGAATGACCTGTCGATTGGATTAACGGTGTTTGTATGGATCGAGAGAATCGTAATCCACTTAAATCTAATTTATAATAAAATTGATAGATTTGTTGTATGAAATTGTATTATAAGCTATTTATTAATGTAATTATTGATGACATACTGTCCACTTTAAGAGTGTCCGTAGCAATCGTCACTTTATGTTCATCGACAGCAAACAACAATCGTCTGTCTCTACCATTTATACGGAAATCATTGGCAGTCACCCCAACCACAGAGTTTCCGAGTGACAGCTTATTACCCATTTGTCCACTCATATCGTTTCGGGAAATCAAAGTCAAATTATCATCTGATAGTATACGTAATGTTTGACCCTATTTTAACAATTATTATTTTTAAAAAAAAACTTCAACTATCTTAAATTTCAATCAAATAAGCTTTAATAATAATTATTATTATAATAGATAGTATATAAAATATAAAGTTAAAAAATGAATTGTTTATAAACTTATTATAACAGTATTATAATTATTTGATAAATATTTCACTGAATTATGAATTTAAGGTTAACTTTAGATTAATGTCATCAAAATTTTCATCCTTTAAAATATTATGTATTACTAATTATTCATCGAATCAATAAAATTAACAAAATTAGAGTACCTAGATCAAACTGTATATTTTGTTAATCATTTAAATTTTAAATAGTTTTATACTAATTTCAAAAAATATAACTTCTTTTTAATTTATCGACACAAATGTATAGTGTAAGTAATAATATATATTTTACTTATTAAAAAAATTAAAAAAATTGCATTTAATTATGAAAACAATTCTTTAAATAAAAAATAATATCTGTATATTAATAGTTTTCTAATTTAATTTAGAAAACTAAAAGTAAATGAGTTAATAAAATAATAGTTTTACTCTTTATTAATTAATAAATAAATTTATATTTTCTTTAATTACTATACACATTAATATTATAATTACAAATAGTCATTAATAATGTTTGTGATAATACGATAAAACTTTAATTAAGTTTCATATTATCTTTAAGATTTGCAAAAATTTCTTAAATACCTTTCTTGAGCTGATTGTTGTGGCAAATAAATGGTCGTCAATAAAGGCATTACCATTAAGAGTCAGTCCATCCGAGTCTATCCTCATATTTGCTAAACCGTACTACAAAACATATATAATATAATATTAAAATATTATAACATAGAAAACATTAATATACTTATATAAATTTTATGTGAATAATTAATTTATCAAATTTATTAATTGTCAAAATACATGACAACCAGGGAAAGGGATCAATACCATAGAGAAATTGAGTACTGAGACTATCCATAGTGTGAGAGCCGCGTTCAACACTACCAGTGCTGCTATTATTATGATTAAGATATAGAGAAACTTTTTACGCCAACCATAGATACCGATCTTGCATTCATGTGGTTCACTATATAACGGTTCCCTATTAGTGGAAGTCATACAATGCCAGTAATTATGTGTTGTCGGTATCGGCTCTGTTTGGTCAGGAGTTTGTCTCAAAATACTTTTCTTTCTCGATTTTGCCATCACTTCACTTGAATCTCTAGATTTATATAAGTTATATAAAATTTAATTATAAAAATTATATAAATTTAGTTATAATTTATACTTAATATAAAATAATTTTCTATTATTATAAAAATATTTTTTTTAAACAAATTAATACAATATTATTATCAAATTAATTAATTTAAAACTATAGGAATTTGTGATAATTGAGTAAACAATTTTTGGCAACCTTGCTCATTTGTTTCCAATTAATCACAATTCAATTATTTAATCTATTATTTAAATTTCAATGTAATTATACATCAATTGGAAGACATTTCTATAGATTGAAGTCAATGTCTATACAAATGAGTGACTATTTTGGTGAAAGTTTGGATTAATTCCAAGTTTAGGACGACTTAAGAAAATAGCGCTTTTTATAAAAATATGCGCAAACTATCATAAGTTAGATCACGTTTAGGTTAAATTAGGTTTAATTACTTTTCATCTATACCTAGTAATAATACATGTGTATTACCTACACTTAAAAGTAAGTTTTATAATAACAATTTTAATAATAAATTAGAGTTAGATTGAAGACTATATAATAATTTTTTAGTATATTTTAATTTAATTGTTAATCAAATCTCTATATATTAGTCTAAAACATATCTGAAAGAATTGGATAAATTGTTGAAGAATTGTTTCATCATTTGGTCACTTAGATAAAGCTTATCGTCTGATTAAACTTTTTTCTATTGTTTTTTAACAAATTCTTTAAGACTGAACAATAGTTTGCGTGTTTGTTGTCATTAATCTCTCTTTCTTTCTCTTTCTCTCTCTCTCTTTCTCTCTTTTTTTCTCTCTCTCTTATTTTCACAAGATTTTTTTTTACAAAATAACAATACATTTAGTGAAAATTTTAAATCAAATTATTAAATTATTCAGTTATTTATTGGTTTATAACTTAAACAGTATAAGCTAAAGCATTGTCAAAATAATTTATTATATGTATATTATGTACAGTATATTGTATAGCATTTTATACCTGAAAATAAAAAGTATGTGTATTCAAATTGCAAAGAAATGTAAATAAATAAAAATTAGAATTTATTAAAATACTAATCCTAATGATTTTAAATTGTAAGCAATATATAAGCTAACTATAACTAAAATACAGTATTAAAGGTTAATGACTTATAAATCATTTTAATCTTATATTGATATTTAGTTTACTGAAACTAATACATCATACTGTAGTACATAATACACTATGTACTACATATTATTTTAAATTTTATATTAATGTATTTTTAGATGATTGTAATTTGAATAAAATAATAAATTAATTTGTAGTTTATTTTATTTAATATTAATTGTAATTAAATAGTTAATTTAAATGTTTATTAAAAGATTTAAAGCAATAATAATTTTAAATACTTTTCTAATAAGTATATGTTTGTTACAAACAGTGGCTAAACATGAAAACCAAAGTCCATCAATAACTCGAGTCAAGAGTATCTATGAGTATGAATATACAGTTAGTCCCCAACAAAGTCAAAGCACCGGTAGATTAAATGAATTCACGGGTCGTAATGATGAAGAAGCGTTGAATTTATATAAGGAATATAAAGACTCCATTTATGTCGACAGATATTATAACTCGTCATTTGCATTGAATATACCGTTATTCACAGTGACTTTACCGGGAAGAGGTCGGGGCGTACACTCACCCGGTCCTGGATCGTCGTCTACACTTAATATCGGTAATATAGACATCAATTATATAAATATATTAATTGATAATAAATTTGATAATTTTAAGGCTCATCTATAATCCTATCGGGTATGATATTAGGCGGCATTGCTTTATTTGCTCCGATAATATTTCCCGAAAGTCGGCGCAGTTTTGAGAGAGCGCTGGACATCGAGTCTATGAATAACTTTGTTAATCAACAAATGGATGACTTCTCAGAGCACGTCTTCGGCCAAAAGCTAAACCCAAAACAACGCAAATCAGTATTCAAAACACTGGAGAAGCAGTTCTCACTTTTGTCGACTAATATTATACATTCAATGCACGAATCGATTAAAGATTTGCCACATTTTCCGGGCAAAAGACTCGAGGAATGTATCAAATGGTCTGTTTGTGATTCACATAAAAGACTCAAAAAGTATGGATATTTGGGACGACTTTTTCGCTCAATATTTCCACACAAAAGTCTTGATAATAATGAATCAGAAGTATTATCTAATTATCTAAAGCCTGCAAAACACGGAAGAGATGTTAGTGTTGACTGCGATGACATTTATGACGACTGTTCACTCAATATTGTCGAAGTTATACAAGAGTTCAATATTTTGGCCGCAAATCAATTCAACAAAAGATCAGATGAAAGACATTTCATATTTAAACTTTTTGATTATTATTTTGATATTTGAAGTATAATATCATTTATATAACTATTTTAATGAATATAAAATAATGTTTATTAAATATATTCTAAATATTACTAATTAATTGCAATCGAAATTTTAGTCAAAAAATGTATTAATACGTATATTAATAAATGTATGTATTTTTGTTTTTTAAATTAAATTTATAAAAAACAATTTATTTTATTATAAATAATTATTTAATAAAAACTAAAAGTTATCTTTTATTGTATTTTATTATATATTTTATGTATACAGTATATTATTTTATAGATATTTATTTAAATTTTGAATTAAAGTAGAGAATTGATAACAAAATTACTGTAGTTATGATTTGTAAGTTTAAGTAATTTTAGAGCCGAAATAAAATTTGTATGAATAAAATATCCAAAAATTCATGTATTGAATAATTTTATTTGACATAAAATAATATTTGTTATCTATAATTGTAATTAAATTTATATTAGAGAAGCCATTACTGAAGTTAATAAATTTTGTTGTTATTAACACATAAATGCTATAAATGGACATTAAATTTGGGCACCAATTGTTTGAAACAGTAATAAAGTGCAACCAAATTAACTATAAGTTTTGTAGTCAAAGCAACGGATGCTATAAGTGATGTCGATTTATGACAGCAATTGAATGTTTGATTTGAGTGCATGTATTCATCTGAACAGACAATTAGCTTTCAATTTTGATTGTGTTGTTCAGTACTAACCATCCAATGGTATGAGCTTTTTGTCTTGTTTTTCGTAGAGCACATCATAACACTTATAGAGAAACGGTATCTAATTTTAGTTAATTAGTTRTCTTGTTTTCGTTACTATTCACCAATTATTCCTAAATTGAATACAATAAAAGTTGCACTCAATTTATCAAAAACTTTTTTATTTAAATATTAAATTTATAAATTTTATTATTATCTATGACAGAGTGTTATAAACAATAACTAAAAAACAGTTTTATGTAATTATACAAGCTATTTTATATATTTTATTTTATTTAAATCTAAAATATTCATTTAAATTCACTTATTTTWAAATAATTTTTATTATTAAATAAAAATATTATCTAATTATTACACAAATTCATTATCTGCAGTAATAATCAAATATTATTTTATGCCCATTAAATACAATAAATGTACTTTTGTATGTATGTATGTATGTATGTATGTATGTATGTATGTATGTATGTATGTATGTATGTATGTATGTATGTAAGTATGTATGTATGTATGTATGTATGTATGTATGTATGTATGTATGTATGTATGTGTATGTATGTATGTATGTATGTATGTATGTATGTATGTATGTATGTATGTATGTATGTATGTATGTATGTATGTATGTATGTATGTATGTATGTATGTATGTATGTATGTATGTATGTATGTATGTATGTATGTATGTATGTATGTATGTATGTATGTATGTATGTATGTATGTATGTATGTATGTATGTATGTATGTATGTATGTATGTATGTATGTATGTATGTATGTATGTATGTATGTATGTATGTATGTATGTATGTATGTATGTATGTATGTATGTATGTATGTATGTATGTATGTATGTATGTATGTATGTATGTATGTATGTATGTATGTATGTATGTATGTATGTATGTATGTATGTATGTATGTATGTATGTATGTATGTATGTATGTATGTATGTATGTATGTATGTATGTATGTATGTATGTATGTATGTATGTATGTATGTATGTATGTATGTATGTATGTATGTATGTATGTATGTATGTATGTATGTATGTATGTATGTATGTATGTATGTATGTATGTATGTATGTATGTATGTATGTATGTATGTATGTATGTATGTATGTATGTGTGTGTGTATGTATGTATGTATGTATGTATGTATGTATGTATGTATGTATGTATGTATGTATGTATGTATGTATGTATGTATGTATGTATGTATGTATGTRTGTGTGTATGTATGTAATGTATGTGTGTGTGTGTGTGTGTGTGTGTGTGTGTGTGTGTGTGTGTGAGTGAGTGAGTGAGTGAGTGAGTGAGTGAGTTAAATAAACAGTTGAGGCAAATAAAAAAATTAAATGCATTTTTATAAGTATGTTCTGACAAAACTATTTAACAAAATTCTCTATTGGTTTTCTATAAATTTATAATCAAAAAATTGAAAAACTATTTACTAATATAATCTGATCTAAAAATTGAATCAATATTGCAGTTGTAATCAATGCGATCTAAACTCCATTGAGTTTCGGTTTGGTTCCTAAAATAGACTTCGGTTTCCGAGTTTAATACCGACAACATCTTAGRTTTGATCATATAATCAATTGATGTATTTCTATGAGTCTATTAATCCTCAGAGAATAGCTTCAATAGCCGACCCTTTTTAATAAATGTCTGCTTTCATGGTTTCACTCGACAATAGTGACTGACTTTAATTGCGGAAAATCAGTGAAGAGAGTGGACACAAATCAGGAAATTGTTGTCTAACTCTCTACTAGTGGTCACTCATTGTTAATATTTATTGAATCTTTTACTACATTCAAAATGATGTCTTTCCTCTTTATATTTCAATTTTACTTTATTTCTAACTACAGTATCATTTTATATACCTATTTGTAATATATATTACTAATACTACGTACAGTATATACATTAGTATAAAGCTGTGGAAAGTATATATATATATAACTAAGACTACTATATCCTACTTAAGACATCAACGATTCTCAGTCATAACTTATTACTTATAATATATAATACAGTATTATTTTAGTGCAATGACTCTATAAATCATTACTAAAGTTATAGTAAAAATAGTTAATCAGAAAAATATACCACAAAAGAAATTAATACCATTTAATTAAATTTGTATTCAATTCAATTAACACGGAATAGAGAAACTAATTAATTAATTTGGTCTTTCATTTTATTCAATAATAGTATTGTCTTTAATAAATTGAATTCATTTGCATAAAAAACATTATTTGAGTACAAATAATGAGAAAAAAACTGTCGCATATATACCCTCAAGTTATACAGTAGTTTACCTTAATATTAGCTGACATTTGTTAAAAGTTTTTATCGATATTAAATTCAATGTGTTTGATGTCGTTATTTAGAAACAAAATTTATTAAATATTACACAATTTTTTTTGCATTTTTAGAGCACTTCTTTTAATTGTCAAATATTGGTCTCAAGGGGTGGGCATCATGTATCTGGGGGTGTAACATACCTTTTGCCCCTATTCTACCCCTTTAACAGCTTAAAGCTGATGTAAATGGTATAACATGTATAATATAAATGTAGAGTAATATACGGCAACTATTAATAATGAAGTTTTTTGAGTGCAAATGTCATATAAGATGCAGAAAATATTTGTCTCGAGATATTATTGACAATAAAAAGTTAGAGACGGATGTGTCGACACTCCAGTGAATTACTTATCAAATTTATCTCCAGATTAGTGAACAGTTAGACATTACAATCAAATAGTGAATTAACTTTTCTTTATATACCAGTTCATCAACAAAATCTGATTAGTCATCAATTGAATAAATATGAGCAAACAATTTGTTGAAATTTCATTACAAAAGTTATTACTTTATTAATAAATATCTTCATTACAAACTGTAGACTATAACTACTAATTTTAAAATATTGAATATTATAGTATATTTTTATTAATGCTTAATAATTTATAAGTATGTTATAACTAGAGTTAGGTACCTTTCGGGAATTCCCGAAACATTATTATTTATTAAATCGTCGGAAATTTAATATTTCCAGAAATATGGCAACATTTTACATGAAATTAATGTCTACAATGTCTAATGTATTGTTTTTCACGATTTTTGGTGTTTTTGAGAAAATCGCGAAAAACAGTATTTAAGTGTTTTTTTCCAGAAATTCGCTAAATATTGATTGATATAACATATAAATACATATTGAATACAATATTAACTCAATATCAATGAATGGGACGATATCTATAAGAAAAAACACAATTTGAACAATATTTTGCTATAAAAATAATTTTTGTTGTAGTTTTGTATGTATTGTAAACATATGTACTATAATCAGGGTTTTAAGTAAATAAATGCCTGCCCTGGCAATGCCCAAATAGATGCCATAAATGCCTGGCATTTTGGGCATCTATTTTATTTGCCTGTCACATTAAATTGCTAAAAAGCAACTGTATTTATAAAAATAATGTAATTTACTTTTTTAGCGTGTTAATTAAATTTACAATTAATATACTTATTTCCTATGATATTACCTTTTAATTAAATGTATACAAAACAAATATATAGATAAAACAATGTTTTATAAATAAATAAATAATATAAAATCATAGTAATAGGTGTCACCACCTGAAAATAGATGCCCAGGGAATTGCAGAGGTAGGGCAGGCATTTGGCAAAATTGGCATCTATTGTTTATGCCTGCCACATTTAAAACCCTGACTGTAATACTGTACTCAATTAATGTATTTTTTACAATGTGTAAAACAAAATTTAGTTTATAAACTAAAACTAAATGTATTTTTATAATCAATTAATCAATTAAAAACTGAAAATTAATTATTTTTAACAAATATAACCGATTTTATGACATATAAACTATTTATTATTAGCACTATAAGAAAAAACTAAATTTAATTTCCCGATTTTGTCATTTTTTGCTCCCGATTTCCCGACCGATTTTGGCCATTTAAACTCCCGAAGATGCATAACTCTAGTTATAATATTGACATATCCCATGAAATATATTTTTGTTGTTGTAAAATTAATGATATATTAATTAAAATAAAAAATACGTTATTATAAATAATGAAAATTAATTAATGTATGAAAAATTAAATGATTTATATTTTAATATTTAACGTCTTTAGA